GGGGCGGGGCCTGGTGACCAGGTCCCTGCAGCTGGGACCCAGCCTCCGTGGACAGAGGGGGACGTGGGTGTGGAGGTGCAGCGCGCCCAGAGGGCCCAGGTGGGAGCACAGGCCTGAGTCCTGCCCTCTCGCCCTCCCAGGTAGCCCTGCTCCAGGAGCGGGGCTGAGAGCTGAGAGCCCTGGACAGAGACCCCCGATCCCCAGGGAGCGCCCGTCAGCACATCTGGACGGGAAGGAGGGAGACGCGGGCCCCGTGGTACAGGGGACGCGCAGAGAGATGATTCTAAGGAAACGCCACCTTGTAGCTTGGGCCGCTTTCGTTTTCTGTTTAATTTTCTGGAGCCCGTTCATTGTCTGTACTGGTGTGCGCAGTGTGTGTGGTGCGTGTGTTTAATGACAATAAAAGCTCCTTACACATCCATGTCTCACAGAATCTCCCTGTGCTGGCGCCTCATGAGTCCACAGCCCATGGAGGCGTGCGGAGGGGGGGGGGCACCCACTCCCAGAGCCACGACCTGCCCCCCTCCACCTCCTCCTCTCCTCCCCACCCCCACCCCCACCCCTTTCAGCTGGCATCCAGCCCAGCGGGTGAGGAAGGCAGCCCAGAAACCAGGGGGCGCTGGGAGCCACATGGGCATCTGGGGCTGGGGCAGGACTGGCCGTGGCCAGAAACAAGACACTGTGTGGGGTGTCAGCACCCACAGGAAGCGGGAACAGCACCCAGAGACTCTCCCCATCCTGGAGCCTGAGTCCCAGGGCAGGTGCTGCGGGCTGGCTCCCCGAGGCCTCTCTCCTGGGCGTGTGGACGGCCACCTTCCCCTGGGTCCTCACGTGGCCGTCCCTCCACGTGTCCGGGTCCCATCTCCTCTTCTTTCTTTTTTCTTTAAGCTTTTTTATTATTATTATTGATTTCAGAGAGAGAGATAGAAACATCAATAACAAGAGGAAATCATTGATTGGCTGCATCCTCATGCCCACACAGGTCCTCACACACATGCACACACACATGCACATGCACACAGGACCTCACACACACAGGTTCTCACACACACACAAACACACACAGGACCTCACACACATCCACACACACACACAGGTCTTTACACACACAGGTCCTCACACACATGCACACACACACATAGGACCTCACACACAGAGGTTCTATACACACACACACAGGTCCTCACACACACAGGCCCTCACACACACAGGTCCTTACACACACAGGTCCTCACACACATGCACACACACAGGGCCTCACACACACAGGTCCTCACACACATCCACACTCACACACAGGTCTTTACACACACAGGTCCTCACACACATGCACACACACAGGGCCTCACACACACAGGTCCTCACACACACAGGTCCTCACACACATCCACACACACACACAGGTCCTTACACACACAGGTCCTCACACACATGCACACACACAGGACCTCACATACACAGGTCCTCACACACACAGGTCCTTACACACACAGGACCTCACACACACAGGTCCTCACACACACAGGACCTCACACACATACACACACACACACACAGGTCCTTACACACACAGGTCCTCACACACAGGACCTCACACACATAGGTCCTCACACACACAGGTCCTCACACACACAGGTTCTCACACACACACAAACACACATAGGACCTCACACACATCCACACACACACAGAGAGAGGTCCTTACACACACAGGTCCTCACACACATGCACACACACAGGTCCTCACACACATGCACATACACACAGGACCTCAAACACACAGATCCTCACACACACAGGTTCTGTACACACACACATAGGTCCTCACACACACAGGTCTTCACACACATTCACACACACATAGGTCCTCATACACATGCACATACACACAGGACCTCACACACATGCACACACACATGAACGTGCACACACATAGGTCCTCTCACACATAGATCCGCACACACACACAGGTTCTATACACACACACACAGGTCCTCACACACGTGCACACAGATATATAGGTCCTCACACACGTGCACACACACAGGTCCTCACATACATGCACACACACACACACACTCGGGCACCACCCACTGGGGCCCACTGTGCACCTTGAGCCTGAACCTTTGCTCAGGCCCCCTTCTCCGGTGCCTGCCCTCCATGCATCCAGCAGCTCCTGCCCTCCTTCTGCTCGGTGCCTCTCCCCTGAGCACCCAGGAGAGCACAGCACATTCCCTGTCCCACACTCACATGGCCTCCTGCTCAGGATCCCGTGTGACTGTCTCCCAGGAGCCCACAGCGACTCCGGCAGGGCCAGTCTCGCCCACACGGATGCCTGCGGCCCCCACAGCGAAGGTGCTCAGGACCTGGCCTGGG